GAATAATTAAGGGCGGATTTATGTGGTTGAGGAATGACTGAGAATTGGAAGCATATACTGACGGAATGCTGTGTGGGAGTTCAATAAGCAGGTACTCACACAAATTTCTCCAGATACTGTTGTTGTTTACTTGTTATTGTTTTTATACCCTCCAACATATTACCATCCACATTTAGTCATTAAGCCAAATTCAAGGTAACCTCCGATTTTCGGTATTTTTGGAATTCTTGAGCGCGTTTTTCAACTGAATACGCTGTAATTTTTTTTTGTAGTCGTATATGGTAACAAATCTCCCTCCCAAAAATATTAATATTCGCCCTTTTTGGGGGAGTTCCCACCACAATGTGGTGCAGGGTATTTTGTCTTTCTGCATATGTTTGTAACTGGCATAAGGAAGCTAGATAGACCAATGGTTCCTTTTGAGAGTATGCATAGAATCACTTTCTGAGTCGACCTATGCATGTCCGTCCGTCTGTTGATGTTAAATTTTAAACAAAGTACAGGTCGCATTTATGATACGATTTTGATGAAATTTGGTAAAGGTCATTTATTTGGCCTAAGGACGAACCCTATTAAAATTTCTGAAAGTCGTTTCAGATTTACATATATCTCCCTTATATATTTTCGTCCGAGTTTATGTAAATGGTGCACCAAAGGTCCTGTATGTCTTTCCATTCGCACGAAATTTGATGAAGCTTACTGTATTGAGAATTATGTGTGCTAAGTTTCGTAAAAAATCGGTTCTGATTTATATGTGGCTCCCATATATATTTTCGTATTGGGATCTGGCAGGCAAGTGACATTTCTGTTCTCGGTTCTTTAATAAAAAGTGACAGCCCCAGTCTGTTAGCCAGGAGCCATCTGAGTGACAACAGTTGCCAGAGGTCATTTGTGCTAGTGTTCCGCTATCCCACTACTCTCTGCCTGGTATCATAGTTTTAAATGATGTGTCATTCTTATTTCAGGTATTCCGTATGACTCAAAACTATTAATTGAGGATCCGATTGTAGCCTATAATATATTTTTGTGAGGTATATTCCTAATGCTGTTACGGCCGGTTCATATTTTATTTGAATATCAATTGGATGTATACACAATATAGACTCTAAAGTTGGCATCTCGTATGACCTTTTCCAGCAAGATGTTAAACAAGTCGCACGACAAACTGTGACCTTGTCTGAATACTCGTATGGTATTGAAGGGCTCCGAGAGGTCCTTTCCGACTTTAACTGCTGAACTAGTACCAGTTAGAGTAATCCTGCATAGCCGTATTAATTGTGCCGGAGCGAGCGCAGACATGGCTTTAAACACCTCTGAACGGATAGGTCTGACGAATGCGTCTTCATAGTCGAATAGGTGGAATGTGTCGATGTGTTTTTCGTGAGTCTTTTCCACGATCTGATCAATGGTTTTGGTTGTTGTCCGCATTACCCCATGTTCTCTGGACTTTTTGTAATAGTTTGGAGTAGTATTCCTTATTGTTCTCCAAAACATTACTATATGTCTATATTTGGAGGAAAACAATTTTCTGCGTAAAATGTTCAAAATAGGTCCAAGTTTGGATATACACCAACTTTCGGATTTATTTAGGTTTCCCATCGAGCTTTCGAAATAGGCTCCTATGTTGACTAGTCTCCACATAAAGGACCCGGTATTTTGAAAGCTAAGCAGAATTATCGACTGAAATTCCTGTAATTCATTAAGCGCGTTCGAGAAGAGCGAAAAAATCATATTTTAGGCAATTTTCGATATCAGTCGATGTTTTAACATACTTACATAGCTGACGGTTGTTCCACAAGCCGAGCTTAAAAAAGATTTCCAAGCGCATCGGTCTTGTGCGCACCTCATCCAATTTGAAAGACCATTTTCCTAGATGTTGTTTTCTACTTGATCTTTCCATCGGATTCGTAGCCTTCCCCTTCTGCGTGAACCATCACTTGGCTCGATTTTATATGCCTTTTGAGCTGGGGCATCTTCATCCTTTCTCACAACATGGCCTAGCCACCGTAGCCGCTGCAGCTCAATACGACTGACTATGTCGATGTTCGCGTATAAATTGTAAAGCTCGTGGTTCATTCGATGCCGATATTCACCGTTGATTCAGATCGGCCCGTAAATCTTTCGGAGAATTTTTCTTTCAAACACCCCAAGAGCTGCCTCATCTGCTTGCGCAAGTACCCATGCTTCAGATCCAAATAACAGCGCGGGTATTATCAGTGTCTTGTAAAGTGTGAGTTTGGTATGGCGGGAGGTGGCCTTGTTTATTGCCATCGATGTCATCGGCGTAGGCGAGTAATATGTGTTGTTTGGTGTACAGTGTGCCATTTCTGTTCACCTTTGCGTCTCGTATGACCTTTGCCAGCAGGATGTTAAAAAGATCACACGACAAACTGCCACCTTTCCTGAATCCTCGTTCCGATAGGAGGGCTCCGATTGGGTCCTTTCCAACATTTACTGCTGACCTTGTGCCACTTAAAGTTATTCTGTATTAATTTTGCAGGAATGCCGAACGTAGACATGGCTTTAAACACCTCTGAACGGATAGGGCTGTCGAATGCGGCTTTATAGTCGACGATTAGGTGGCATGTGTCGATGTGTTTTTCGTGGGTCTTTCCCAGGATTTGGCGCAGAGTGAAAATCTGGTTAATGGTGGATTGGCCAGGTCTGAAGCCGCATTGGTATGGTCCAATGATGTCATTGACCATTGGCTTCAATCGTTCACACAGCACACTGGATAGCACTTTGTATGCGATGGGAAGAAGGCTAATTAATCTATAGTTGGCACATATCGTCTTGTCTCCTTTTTGTGCACGGTACACAGGATGCTGAGGTTCCAATCATTGGACATGCATTCCTCTAGCCAAATTGTACTAATCAGCTGGTGCATGCTCCTGACCAGCATCTGACCACCAGTCTTGAATAGTTCGGCTGGTAACCCATCGGCTCTTGCTGCTTTATTGTTCTTGAGCCGATTAATTGCTTTTATGACCTCACCTTGGCTAGGTGGTATACACTCTATACCATCATATCTTATTGGTTCAAAATGCTCCTTCCTGATCCTCAACACGCTGTCTGTATCTGTCACAAGGTTTCCTTCTTCATCTCTACAGGAGGATGTGCCTGCACCAAAACCTTCCATTATTTTCCCTTCCGATTTTTGAATTAAAATCTCCTATCAGAATTTCAATGTCATGGCCAGGGCAGCGATCATATGCTGTTTCTAGGCGCTCGTAAAATGTGTCTTTGGTCTGCTCATCTTTGTCTTCGGTCGGAGCATGGGCGCAAATGAGACTGATGTAGAAGTACTTCGCTTTTATACGGATTATAGCAATTCGCTCATCTACTGGAGTGAATCTGGAGACGAGGTTTTTTATTCTCCTGTTAACCATAAATCCGCAGCTAAATTCATGTCTCGTTTCATGGCAGCTATAATACAGGGCGTAATCGTCTGATTTACTTACGCCTGTCCCTTTCCATCGCATTTCCTGTAAGGCAGTAATATCAGCTTTGTACTTCTTGAGTACATCCGCCAAAGCGAAAACTGCGCCTGTTCTGTACAACATGCGCCCATTTCAAGTGCAGATCGTGGTCCTTTATAGGGAGGGGGTTGGTGGTTTTAGTTTTCATTTTCTTTGCTTTTTCATAGTAGGATGCGTTTCCGACAGGGCAACTAACCCGACGCCTCAACCTATTTTTTTATCATATCAGCTCACTATTTCAACGGGTGATGAAAATAGGTAACACAGGTGACACCGCGGGGGTCCGTGTCCACAATTGTGATGAAAGAAGGACCAAGCTAAGCATGGACTTCGCCATGTTAAAGCCAATAAGAGCCGTTGCTTGGTATCTATCATCCACTACGCAGCCCACATCTTTCCACATAAGATCTCTAAAAAATCTTATGTCGCTAGTATACCTCGCTAGTAGACCTCCTATCGAATTCATCTCTGGTATCCTAATCCACTGTTTATAGTACTTAATAATAACTTATTTTGTTTTTAAACATCATTTACTATGTAATAAGTCAATTTTGTATAATTATAATCAAATTATGTGGCAACACTAATAATAATTAGCTCAGCTACATTTTGCAATAGGTGTTTTGTGATCATAACATAAACAAAGAAACAAACAAAACGACAAACAATCAAAACATCGCCATCGAACCATAACCTCTACCAACATAAGTACCACAACCTCCAAACCGATATATTTTTGGCTGGTACTACTACTACATCGGTTACCTTAGGTAAGTTACACATGAGCTGCGCATGCGCATATGAATGAAATAAATGCCGTACATGCAAACGAACCACCCATGCAGCGGTTTCCCTTTCATTGGCAATGCAACCAACCCAGAAGTTGGATATCAAACCAAAACATTGTTTTTACTTTCAATCAAACCGACTGGTAGCAAAGCTTTTACCATTCGGGCTTTTTGTGGATTCCAAACACCGAAAAAATAAATGTTTTCCTAACAAACTGAGGCTTGTGCAAAGTTTCGAAAAAATTTAAATAAAATCTACTTGTTTTTTTTTTCGTTGACGTCGTTTTGATTAAAAGAAAAACAACAACAACAGCAACAATTGAAATGCTTACATTGTGAGATTTATGAACGAAACGATTGGCGTGGACAGACAAAAAGGCAGGCAGACAGACAGACATCGAAAGGCATAGCTGGTGGGTCCGCACAAGCTTTGCAAACTTTAGTCTACCAATTTGGTTTAGTTAAGTTTGGAACGTGTAACCGTTAAAACGTCGCCTCCGACTTATTCGCACGGAAGTGAAAACCGCCCAAAAGAAACAAAATTAACAAAAACAAAACACCTTCAACTCAATTTTTGCAAAAACAAAGTAAACGAAACGAACCAACGGTCCTTCTTAGTTGTTGGTAAAATTGGCATGCAAATAGTTGTGTTGAATTTTTAATTAACTTGAAAAGACACTTAACCACCGATCGCATCGGATATTATTTAACAAATTTCGAAAAGTAGTTCCCAGAAAGAAACAAACGCCTGAAAATGAAACCATTTGGAATTATCCTAGGATTGACCCTATTGGTCACATATGGTAAGTTGATACGCCAGCAATCAATGAATTCGGAACGATAACATGTTTTTTTTTTTAAACGGAGTCAATAATGTTATGGCCAATTGCCCCGAGACAATTTGGCACTTCGTGGCTTACTTTCAAATAACAAAAAAAAACAGAGACCGCAACCACTGCCCCGCTGCCGGCAGCAACAGCAGTTACAGAATATCATAGTTATGACTTAATTTTAGCCAATAACTGGAGTAGAGTTGATAGCCAGACACAATAGTGGTTGGTGTTGGCCTGCCGGTCTGCTTGCCTGCCTTGAGTGTATTGCTCATGACTGGTGGTTTTTTCTTTGTTACCGACCACCGATCGACCAGCAGTTATTCAGACCACCGTCAATTATTAAATCAATTTCAATTGTGTTAAGTTACCTACTTTCAATTATTGTTATTACTTAGTCCGAACCCCGAAATGAACGGCCTTTGCAGTGGAACTCAAACAACGGCACACACACGTTCACATGGTTAGAAACAGGTGAAGTGCTTGAACCATTTACAATTTTCTTGGTGTGTTTCTTTTGTTTTTGTTATTCATATTACAAAATTAGATTGTGTTCTGCTTGCGCGCTTTAAATGGGGAGTGTACATATCTTTTTGCGAAATAATTGCATATCAATTTGAATACATTCCCAATTTGATTTGGAATTCAATTTGTGTATCTTGTAAGCTACCCGCCAATTAATAGGTTCCGCAAATAATTCAAATCTGAAAATAAGAAATGTAAATTCCTAGAATGTATATGTTTTATGAAATGATTTTTCAGAATTTTTTTTGGTAGGTTGTTCCAAGACAACTATAGGAGATTTACACCAACTAAGGACTAGGGCCAACCCGAGCTATATTGGACTGGAACAGGCCGCATTTTTATACCCTTCACCACACTGTGATACAGGGTATTATGTCTTTGTGGATATGTTTGTAACAGGCAAAAGGAAACGAGATGGACACATGGTTCCTTTTGAGAATATGCATAGAATTACTTTCTAAGTCGATTTATACATGTCCGTCCGTCTGTCTGTCCATGTTAAATTGTAAACAAAGTACAGGTCGCATTCATGATTCCAATTGGATGAAATTTGGCTCATTTATTTGGCCCAAGGACGAACCCAATTGGAAAAAAATCGATTCCATTTTAGATATAGCTCCTATATATATTTTAATCCGATTTAAGATAAATCGTGCACCAATATCTTTCGATTTTCACGAAATTTGGCATAGCGTACTGAATAAAGTCTAGAATGACGTGTATTAAGTTTCCTGAAAATAGGTCCAGATTTAGATATAGCTCCCATACATATTTTCGTCCGATTTTATGTACACAGGGCACCAAACTCGCCACATATTCTTGGATTTGCACGAAATTTGGCATAGCATACTGAATTGTGTCTAGAATGACATGTGGTAAATTTCGGAAAAGTCGGTTCAAATTTCGATATAGCTCCCTCATATTCGCATATGTTCGTCCGATTTTACATAAATGGTGAACCAAACTCCTAATGTTTATCCGATTAATACGAAATTTTTTACAACATATCAAATTGAGACTTGAATTACGTTGTTGGGGTTTGTTAAAATTACTGCAGATCCAACTATAGCTTCCATATTGTATTCTGAACGGGTGTCTGATTGAAATTAAAAGTTGAACAGTGCGGCATACCGAATAGCATGTATCAATTTTGCTATAAATCGTTTTCTGTAAATTTGTTCCATGGTACGCAGACTACTCTAAATCTGCCCGAATGAAATAACGATCCGTATATCAATATGTGAGTCCAGGACCAATATTTCGTTACAAACTGTTGAAACACAAACACTTATGATACGCTCACAAGTAGCTATTAATTGAAATTTAAAGAAATATAGATCTCATTACAAACTATAATCAAATTTTCTTATATTAATTTTTAGCACTTTTTTCTGCCACTTTTCTAAAATTTTTAGCACTTTTTTCAACTAAATCTAGCATTTTTTCTCAATCAAGTTTTGGCAACACTGGTTACAAGAGACATTTGGGTATGAAAGATTTTTTGTATAGAAGCAATAGCTTCTGGGGAGAATATCCCAACAAAAAACTAAGGGAACTGATGAGGATCAGTGGCGTGATCCGAAACTATAGTCTTCCCTATCTTACCCCTCGGTAAACAATGCCATACATTCCCCACTAATAAATAGTTGTTTTTTATAAAAACAACAAACTGGGATTCAGTCTGACTATTTTGCAAAAACAAAATACAAATGGTATCCCAAATAAACCGCCAACACTACTGAAGTATGTATCATTTTTTTGTGTATTTCTGACTTCCACGACATTTTGCAAAAACGTGATGATTCGATTTCATGTAAATGACGCACAAAATTCATATTAGATTTATCTGGTATATAGAATTTTGTCTAATTTTCGAAGGAATCGGAATGGAAAGCTAAAATTTTACATAGACGAATCTTTTGTTTTCAGGCCCACGTTTCCACGTAGACCTTCTAATTTTCTGATATTTTAAGGAATGAGGAATTCAGCATTTCCGCGAGGAAAATTATTGGAACAAACACAATGTAAATTACACAGCGTGTATGTCACCTTAATCATGTGCACAAATCCTGTGGATTATATTTGACTTAAACTCCTTGTACATTAGAACTTTTTATCGGGTTAACCTACTTTTTGAGGATTTATTTGACGTATATGCAAAGGCATTGACAATTGAAACCCACTGGGTTAACGAAATCCGGTTAAATGTAAACGTACTATTATACTCTATGTTATTGACACTTGAGATCGAGTGGATTTCATAAATCTAAATGCACTTTTAATTTCTTGTAAATATAATTATCAAAATTCCCATAGCACAATATTTGTAAATATTATTTAGCCTTACAATATATTAAAAATAATCTTAATAACTTTCGAGGCTGTCAAAATATTATATTTATATTGCAATGAATATTAAGATAATAAATAATGTATTAAATTAGAAAATTATGATTTAAATGTGATTAACTAATTTAATAATATAATTTATATTATTTGAACTTTGATATTATTAGAAAATATATTTATCTCTCAATAAATGCATAAAGTTTGAATGTGAAGGTTATGCTCATAATTTTATTCTTTTATATAGACATCGACTATAATAATTTAGTTTTTTGCCAATGGAAAACATTTGGGGTGTAATCTAAATTTTACTGTATACTAGCAATAGCGGTAACATCGTTATGTGTATTCGTAGCGATGTGAAGGCGCATACCTACCCTGTAGGGAAATGAACCAATTTTAAACTAACTTTAAACTAATTTTAAAATAGTCACTACTAGTCCATTTATCGATAATTTTTCTTTGGACCAACTGACTATTTTTACATGACGACTGGTTACAAACTAGTTATTTTTGACCGATTTATAGTTAGATTAAAAAAATGCAGATAGTCATCGGTCTAAAATAGATTAATTTGTATGTAGACTTTTCGAAATGACTATTATTTGGTATATTTTAATATAACTATTTACTAACTTAACTTGGCTAATTTGTAATTATACCAATACTGCAATGTTTGAATCTATGAAATAACGTTGGACAATATACAATTTCAGTTTAGAATTCAATATATTGAATTATAAATTGCTGAAATTTATATACATAGGTGGAAATACATAAAATATGTCACTGGAAGTGATCGCAGGGTGTCCATAAGGAACTCGAAAACATTTTGTAAATCTTTTAGGTAGGCAGATGAGCATCTGAAATATAGTGAAATTAAAATTCGAATTAGAATAGTTGGTTTTAATTTATATAATAAATTACTTACTTAAATTCATGCTGAGGCGTTTCACTGATTTTGGCGGGGACTCCATGTTTTTATTGGATTAGAAATTTTACAAATATTCTGCATATGCGGTACAAATTAAAAAAAGATGTGTATCTATATTTACATATTCTTCTCTTTGCTTTTTACATAATTTTCTACGATGTGACTTCAATTATATTATTAAAACACTTACCAATTTATTTTTAATTTCACACTTAAAAAGCACAATTACAATTAATTACGATTTACACGTCTTCACTCTCCGAACTTTCAAACAGAATGATTTTTCTTCATCTTTGCATCCTGTGTTGTTGTGTGGAATGCAATTCTAACGGTTTCTTGTTTTGCGTGTGTTATGTTTTTGATGACATGAACATATTTTTGGTTTCAATGTGGTTGAGTCTTAGATGACTTTTTAGCTAATTTATAATCAGTTGATTAATAATTTCTTTATAACTAAACATTTTATAAACTAGTTGATGAAAGTCCTACAGGGTACTTACTTAGCTGGCTTGTGACCGAACATTTGTTCCATAAGCCGAGCTTAAAAAAGATTTCCAGACGCGTCGGTCTTGTGCGCAGATTTTCCAATTTGAAATACCATGTTTCGAAATGTGCTCTTCGCGGTGTCAGCTGGGGTAGCTATTTTCATCATCCGTTGAAATAGTGAGCTGATATGCATCGAAATTCTCATACAATTTATATCGTTGATTAGATAAGTATTTCGATTTTTCCAAAAGATATGTGGGTATAAGGTTTTTTGTAAATAAGCTGTAAATATCTTCTGAAAAGAGGACTATCGTTGCTATGTCAAAACGTGGACGTACTTTTCGGTAAATATCTTTTTTGATCTCCTAGAAAATACCCTTAAAGGTAGAAAAGACACCTAAGATGGATGAATAAGAAACCGTCACTTTGTTGGAAAACGCTCCTAGGACCAGGAGGAGGTCTTCGGAGTTATACACAAGTTTTATTATTCGTTTTATATAAGATGAAGGTTTAATTAAAGATATTTAGGTTTTAATGTTGATAACATATATAAAATTTACGATTTTTGAAGGAGGTACCAGAAGGGCCCCACATTCGGGCTTGATCTAGGCTTCAAATCGGGCATTTCCTTCGCCTAATATTGGATTTATAAATATTAAAAATTTTGTGTGAAAGGTACCAG